ACCAAGGATTGCGGAGTTTTCGTACCCAACTCCTTCAAAGGATCAAGAACAACTTCATCGGTAAGTATGCCCATTTTTTTGTGATATTAAACGACGACTTATCAACTTGGTTCTTATCACGCAATGCTTTTATTTTATGTAGGTCTGACAGTGGAGTCTGGGTATGCATGTGGATGTATGGCGCAAGCTGGGACTCCTCTTATATTTGGGTAAAGACAATTATAATTCGCATATTAGAAAACCACAATTGATTGTTATTTTTGAATCATGCGGTAAGCACCATGTTTGTTGATGTTGATAGCCATGCACTCAAGTGAGGAGGATGCAGATTGCTTTGTACCTTGTTCGAGAGCCCATGAACTACATAAGGCATATGGTGCTCACGGAAGCAAGAAGAGTTGCACCTCAAGTTGAAGCTGCAGTGGAAGAGTACAAGAAAACCCATGAAAAGAGGAAAAAGGAAAGAGAAGAGCACAAGGAAACCCAGTCAACGAGCCCAAGAACAACCTAATTTTGCGTTTTAGTTTTCAAGATGATGGACAACAGTTATGTTTTTTTTTTCTCAGGATGATGGACAATCGTTTTTTATTTGGTTCGGTGAATGCTTATTATTTTTGGTTTTTATATTTGGTTTTTGGTTTGGTGAATGCTTTTTATATTTGGTTTTTGGTTTGGTTTGGTGAATGGTTTTTATATTTGGTTTTTGGTTTGGTTTTTGGTTTGGTGAATGCTTTGTATATTTGGTTTTTGGTATTGTGAATGCTAGCTATATTTGGTTTTTGGTATTGTGAATGCTTTCTATATTTGGTTTGGTTTGTTTTTTCGTGGAAATGGCAAAGGGACTTCACCAAAATTCCAGCTTCCAACTTGTGAGTGAGGTTGCTTCTGTTCAAGGCTTCAAGCCATTGTATCTTGTAGAGAGGTTTAATTGGGATCATGTATAGTTAAACTGATTGGCTCCCAATCGTATAATTAAATTTGCATTCATGTATAGGTAACCCAAAAGGTAAAACTGATTTGCTCTCAATCGTATAATTAAATTTGCATTCATGTATAGGTAACCCAAAAGGTAAAACTGATTGGCTCCCAATCGTATAATTAAATTTGCAATCATGTATAGGTAACCCAAAAGGTAAAACTGATTGGCTCCCAATCAGTATAAATAATGACCAAACCCAGTACAAGGCAGATAGAAAATTCTTATGTAATTAATTTAATGTTCCTAGGATATGGAAAGGCTTCCATGTAAAGGATTGAAAGTAGTGATTTACATTGATCAGGAGAGTGGCTTAAGTACCAACTCTTGAACAGATTGAAGCTACAAAGTAGGAGCCACTAACCCACTAACTAAAACTAATGACGTTACTAACTAATAATAATAACATTAATTATTTACAGAAATTGAATTTATGCACAGCACTTATCATTCCATTCCTTGAATTTCCACCAACGATGTTTTCACTCCCCTTTTAGTCAGAGAATTCATTGTAGTAATAAATACAATAAAAAGGCATACATAATTAATGGATTCTTTATTGTGTATAATTAAAAGGATATTTTACTATAAACGAAGCATGATAGATCCACAGGGGGATAAAAGAAGCATGAGTCTTGATGAAAAAGGGGAAAAAATCACCATAGATAAAAAATCATTATAATCAACCTAATTGGAACTACTTAGAACAAAAGCGGATTAAAATCTTCCCCAATGAAATTCATTTGCAATTTCATAGGTAGTCCATACTTCCACTTCTATAATTTTGAGAAAACATTGCAATTTCATCAATAGTCCCCACTCGCAGGCCAATTTCAATTGCAACCAAATTTGCACCCTTGCAATAGCTTCTCACATCATAGCAAGTGTAGGATGCAATTGCACCTCCTTGCTTAGGGATGACCATTACTGCATCTCGTCACCTGTCTTAGGGAAATTAGCCATGGCAAATTCACAAAATACTGCATGCATAGAAAAATATTTGTCTGGATAATTAAAAAAATGGGAGACTTTCCTAGTCAGATGATGTACTAGCTCCCCTCAGTACCTGACAGTTTTGAGTGCTGGAGAAAAAGACTGGAAAAAAAAAACAACGAAGCCTTACAGTAAACTTCTTAACAAAACACATCCAATGCTTGCCTCTTCACTGCTCCACCCCGCCCTGCATCAATCGACTATCATGTAAGCCGAGGACGTTTGCTTGAGGATGCCTCAGGGGTCTCTTCATGCTCCGTATGCCGAAGGTCATAAAAAGTATTGGTCACTTCGACGATACGGTAGACTGGCAAATAGGCGGAATGGTCCTCCCTAGCATAAACCCCCATATCCATCCCAACCCTTCCAAGAAAGGTGGTCAAGAAGGTGGCATATGGAAAGGCAGTGTACCAGTTTTCCCCTCTAGGAGCAGCCTCAACCATGTTCAGGCACATGAGAGATGCGAGGTTAAGAGGAATACCTCTTTGAGCCTGCACAAGGATAGACAGGTCAAGTTTACGAATTATCGAATGACCACTGTACCTTGGCATGAAGCAGTTGACGATCATCCAATGGAGGAATCGAAGAGGATCTGGGAGGAAAGAAGCCTGGATGCGCCCATTCATCAGTTTCGCCAGTTCAACTTCGAACTCAAAATCGTACAGCCGCCGAAGATCGCTTCTGCTATCAATGTGGTGTCCTGCGGCGGGGAGATCGAGGATCTCAGCAAACTGATGAGGCTGGAAGCAGGCTCTATAACCCAGGAAGATCGACACGAGATGAGAATCGGAGGGACCAGACAGCTCTAAATTGTGGTAGAACTTCCTCACCACATGCGGGCAGTAACTGGTGCTTCCTCGACTCCGGAGATCAAAAAACTTTTCCCAGCCAAGATTTTTAATTAACTTCTTCACTTCTTGAGGGAAAGGACTCAAGTGGATGAACTCGTACTCGGCCACAATAGATGTCTTGCTCGTGAATGAAAGATAGTCCGCGAGACTTGGGGTGGATCGGCAGTCGTCGTTTGATAGAGTTAGTATGCCCATATCCGCAAACGATTTGCCTTTGTTTGCCATGGAGTCAGAGGAAGAAGGAACAAGGGAAGGTGAAGATGGAGGAAAGAGAGATTGTAGGTGTAAGAAAAAGTGATCGTGGGGGTTGAGTGTGGAGACGTGTGATGGAGACGGTTGAGTCTGGAATGTCAAGAGTTAGAAGATTTGGGAAGATATGTAGTAATGATGATGTTAACTCGTGTAGGTTAAACTAGGGTAACTAAAGCTAGTTAAACTAGGGTTGGCGCTGATACCGCAGGAGAAAACTAATGGGCTCGCACGTTCCAGGCCCACTTTTGAATATTGCATGGGTCATGTACAAGCCCACGTTTGAATGTTATTTAAAAGCCTGCAAAAATCAATGATCAGACCCAGTCCAACTAGAATTAGTCCTAAACGCACCGTTAATACATAAACACAAACTAAGGAGACCTCTCCATCCGATTCGAATCAAATTATGTGTTCTTCATCTTCTTCCTCAATCCTCTGGGCGAGACGAACACTACATATCAGGAAACCTAAATTTCACCGAGAGATATAAGGTTCGAGAAAATCACAATAACGCTAAGAGAAGATTACAAAGCACTAGTGACATGAACCCTAGGGTTAGCAAACCTCTTTCAAGGGTTCTTTTGCAAATGAAAAGTTCGATGAACACAATAATAGACATGGTCGCCGTAATCGTGTTAGAAAGAGATAGGCGAGGGGAAATACAATGGCGAAGAAGAAACAAGACAAATTTTTTTTGGGAAATTCAATCTACGTCGAATGTGGATGCAAGTAATTGGGATTCAAAAAGATGATTAAAAAAAGGGAGTTCAAATTGGATGGGGAGCTTCTCTTGGAACTGTGAAGGGGCGTCCCTCCAAGACGAGAGAGGGATCGTGTAATTGGTTAGGGAGACTGGAAATTGTTTTCGGCGGCAGTGGGTCTACCCAATTGGGTTTGCAGTCTTAATCCATTTAATTTAATCGGGGCAGTTAGTTGGACTAGGATGAAAACAAACTTAACGCGGCAGGAGCCTTTTTGTAATTTGTTTAGTTATTTAGTGGCGCAGTTAGGTTTAACAAATGTGAGCCGTGGAGATTGAAAATGAATGGTTAAGATCGGCCAAGGTACCCGTACCCGGATTTTGCCCTGTGCACCGTAGAAGTCACCATATATATATATATGGTTCAGGCTAGCGTACGCCCCATTGTGTTTTGCTATATAGATCATGAATTAATCGGAGTTTGGGGCATGATACTATACCCTAACCTCTAATGGGTGAACCCCAGTCCCTAATTTTCTAACCCAAACCATGAGGTTCGTTTAATCTTAAAATGAAAACCGATGAAAATTTCTGCGAATAAGAATCGTTGATTTTCATTTTTAAGATTAAACGAATCTCGTGCTTTGGGTTAGTGAATTGGGGACTGGGATTCACCCATTAGGGGTTAGGGTATAGTATCATGTCCCAAATTCCGATTAATTCTTTGTCTAAATAGCAAAACTCAATGGGGCGTACGGTAGGCTAGCGTACGCCCGGACGTACGCTAGCCTTTGCCATATATATACCCATATATGGTGATGACTGGTGTACGTCAGACGTATACTATACGTCAGGTGATCTAGCCGTTAGATGTGGTTAGATGAGCTCCGGCCGATCTCAACGGTCAATTTTTGTTTTTCATTAAATCAAACTTCGGGTTAGGGTTTAGAAAATCGGTGCCTGGGGTTTATCCATTAGAGGTTAGGGTATAGTATCATACCCCAAACTCGATTTAATTCATGGTCTAGATAGAGATATCTCACTAATAGTACCTGACATATAGTATACGCCTGACGCACACCAGTCTGACCCTAATATATATTAGGATCCCAAAGTCCCAGCAGCACGCAAACTCCTGTGACCAATAATATCCATTCTCAAAACCATTGCACCAGATCGTTGTTCCCTCCGGCCGAACACTTTAATTGTCTCCCTCTCCCTCGACTCGATGGTCAACTTGGATTCCTTGCCGGAAGAATGTTTCTCGGAAATCCTGTCCCTCACATCCCCTAGAGACGCCTGCAATGCCTCGTTGGTCTCCTCGTCGGTCCGGTCTGGGAGAAGTTTCTGCCGCTGGATCGTGAAGGGATCGTGTCGAGAATGAATGCGCCGTCGGGTTGTTCGTCCAAGAAGGAGTTGTACTTGAAGATATGTGAACCACAACTGCTCGACGGAGGAAGAAATTAAGGTATATGTTTAAGGCCGAAATGTAGGCGGTGAGAGAATTTAAAACTGACAGTTGTCAATCGCAACCATCTACCAGCATTTAACAATTGCATCTACCACCCACCATCGTCGTTTACAGCCTCCTGCAAAATCTACACTCATCCAATTGATGTTTATTATACGTTACTTACAAACTTTTCTCACTATAAATTGCTCTTCGATCTCTGGTATAAATTGCTTGTAAGAGTATGTATTTTTATCATCAATAAAACAACACCACCACCTTAGCAAATTCATCATATACAACTACCAAGTACCAACCCATCGCTTAATCTCCTTTATTATTTTTTTTTTTTTTTTTGTTGTTCTGTTGTATGAATTTTTGGATTAGATGTTGGGAAGAAGCACTTCGCCTTGGCGGCAAGGGAGCTTTCAATAGTTTGGGCCGACAATCCCCTATACTGGACCCAAAAACATTATCCAGCCAGATTCCCAGAAGCGGTGGAGCTTCGGACCATCTGCTGGCTCGAAATCCAAGCCCACTTCCCAACCAAGTTCCTCTCCCCAGATACAACCTACGCGGCCTACCTCGTGCTCCAGCTAGCCGACCGAGCTTATGGGCTGGACAGCCCATGTGTCGGTCAAAGTCGGGAGTTTCGATGTTAAAGCTGAAGTCCTCCTACGTCGTCATTTTGAGAAAGAATATATAGCGACGGTAAGAAGAGAATTGGATACGCATACGCTATTATATTTAACGGGAAGAATTTCATCGTCATCGAGTTGTCGTCCTTTGATGGGTTCTGAGGCGTCGAAGGGAAAGCAGCCGATCGAGCGAGGAGATGGGTGGCTGGAGATCGAACTGGGGAGATTTTATAATGAGGGTGGAAATGGTGACGGTGAAGAGATGATGGAGACGTGCCTGAAGGAGGTTGATGGTGTGCATTTGAAAGGCGGGCCTATTGTCGAGGGTATTAAGATTAGATCCAACTCTTGCTAATGTATTCTTCTTAAATGTTTTGATTCATTGAATAATTTAATTTTTTTGATTAACGCATTATTGCATTGTTTTTTAGTGACATGGTTCGTTCATCGGTCAAAATATTTCTAAAATTAGTTTTTATGGATATTAGTTTAGATCATGATGAATATTTTAAAATAAATTTGACCAATTTTGTCATTTACGGTAAAATTTGAATGACATTATGTTACGGGAAATAAAAATTAACTATTTTTCTATTACTAATGCCATTATGTTATTAGGAATGGCAAATTAACTATTTTTTCTATTATTAATGTCATTATGTTATTAGGAATGGCAATGGGCAGGCCGTTCGGGGCAGGTATCTCGATACCCATACCCCCTCCATGGCAGGTCGGGTAATTTATTACGTGGCGCGGGTCGGGGCACGTCGACCCAATGGTTATGTAATTTATGTGAAAAGCATTAGAAATATTCGTTATTTTCATTAAAATACCAAGAAAGAAATCATAATATGATCAAATCTTGTTAAATTATTGAAGAAATTGAGGTTTTCACTTAATTGCAACTTTATTATTGATGAGGTCATCAAAGCCAAACACACTCAAGTTGAAGGGCCAATGACTCGAGCTAGGGCTAAGGCTTTTCGGGATCAAATTGCAAGCTATTTGGCTAAGGAGTTGGAGGGCTTAAGCTTGGATTTGCTAGAAGGAAAGTCCATCACACTATTGAGCTATGTGGATCACGAAATTGGGCTCAAATGGAGGGAAGGAGGGTCGGCCATGGAGAAGGAGTCTCAAGGTGTGAATGGAATCAACAATGGATAAAGATCATGGTGTGAACACAAGGTGTGAAAGGAATTTCAAGTGTTAACACAAGGGGGGGGGGGATTTGAAGGCTAGGTTCAAGGGTAGTTGTTGACTTAGTCTTTTCCTTGTTTGTTAAGGTTTTTGTTTTCCTTTTTCAAGTAGGATTTGGTTTTCCTTAGTTGTTTTGTGTTTAGATTTGTGGGTCTATAAATAGGAGTCCAACTAATGTATTTTTCATTCAAGTTTCAGCAATCAAATACAAGTGTTTACAAGTTCAAGTGAACGTTTTGCTTATTCGCTCATTTGAGGATTTGTGAGGTTTGAGTGGTCTCTTATCAACTAGAGAACGTGTCTAGTTGTGGCGAGCATCGACGATATCGGCTGGCCTCTTCCACGGGTTCGAGATTGTTTGGAATGTTTTATATACCTTCTCGCCCTTCTCACGAGTTCGGATTTGTTTGATCGATTCCGCAAGTATCTTTATTTCGTGTTATTCAAGAAAGGAGAAAACCCCTAAAAAGTTCGACGTGTGCAACTCTGGTTTTTGGTCTGATTTGGGAGGATTCTCGAATTAGGATCATATCAAGTGGTATCAAGAGCCGGTTCAAACGCAACGGAGAAGACAAAGATTCTTGGAGTTATTGGTAAATCGGGAAGCATTCTTGGAAATCTTGAACGTCAAGAAAGAAAATCTTGAACGCTCTTGAGAGTTTCTTGTGTGGCAAGGAAGGTATCTTGAAGACAAAGCATTCGTGGGGTTCTTCTTTAGCAAGAAACCATGGCATAACAAGCACAAGATGTGGCGACACAACTTCAGCAACTCGCTGCACAACTAGCTACGGTACTTCAAGAACAAAAGGAGACAAGGGCACAAGTTGAGGCATTTCAAAGACGTGATCAAGAGCAGCCTCAACAACGAGAACAAGAGCCACCCCAAGGCGAGTTTGCAAACCCTAACCATAGGGAACGACGAGAAGAAAGGAGAGTTGTTCGAGCTGTTCAACGTCCAATGTTTGAGAATGTTTGTCGATATAGGCCATTGGGAGGGCATCATGGTGCAAGGAGAGACTCCCCCTTCTATGACAAGGAAGGGTATGAAGAATACGAGTATGATGGAGGTGCTTACCAAGATGATGATGATCTAAGAGGATTGAAGATAACCGTACCATCTTTCAAAGGGACAATTGATCCAGAAGCTTATCTCGATTGGGAACGCAAGATGGAGCTAATTTTTTATAATCAAAACTACTCAGAGAAGAGGAAGGTGGCGATAGCTACCGTTGAGTTTATGGATTATGCCCTAGCGTGGTGGGATCAATTGAGCACGAAGAGAAGAAGAGATAGGCGCAGGCCTATTGAAACATGGGATGAGTTGAAGGCAATCATGAGAGATCGATTTGTTCCAGCCTATCATCAACGGGAAATGCACCAAGCATTACAACTTCTTCGACTAGGCAACAAGAGTGTTGAGGATTACTATCGAGAGATGGAGTTGTTAATGATTCGAACTGATGTTCGTGAAAATAGGGAAGCTACCATAGCTCGATTTCTACATGCTCTTAATCGAGAGATTCGTAATGTCGTGGAAATTCAACAATTTGTGGAGGTAGAAGACTTGGTGGCTATTTGCAGCAAGGTGGAGAGGCAACAGAAGAATAGGAGGTTTCTACCCTCTACAAGTACTACAAGGCCTACACCAGCACCTACAACAAACCCTAGGCCGAGTGTTCCTACAAGAGAAGCACCAAAAATCGGGCCAAAGGTGGAGACTCCAAACCCTAGCACCAAATAGGGTTCATCTTCCGGTGGAATTCAATGTTTCAAGTGCCATGGACGAGGGCATATGGCAAACCAATGCCCAAACAAAAGAGCATTGATCTTATTGGAGAATGGTGAATATGTGTCCGATGGTGAGGAAGAAGAAGCACTAGAAGAGAAGGGTACATTAGATTCTGAGGTGATGGAGACACCCCGGGCAGATTATGTGTAGCTCGAAGGGTATTAAGCATCCAACCAAAGGAGGAGCTTGAGCAACGGGAGAACCTCTTCCATACGAGGTGTGTAGTGGATGGGAAGACCCTTTCGGTTGTGATTGATGGAGGGAGTTGCACCAATGTGGTTAGTGCTAGTTGTGTGAAGAAGTTGGGGTTGAAAACAACGATTCATCCAAAACCCTACACTCTTCAATGGCTCAATGAAGATGGGTCAATCAAAGTGGCTAAACAAGCCTTATTGAAGTTTTCCATTGACAAATACAAGGATGAAGTAACATGCGATGTGGTGCCAATGCAAGCGGCTCATGTTCTCTTTGGGAGGTCGTGGCAGTTTGATCGAAGTGCTCAACATGACGGCGTCACCATCAAATACAAGTTAAAGCACCAAGGTAAGAAGATAGTATTGAAGCCTCTATCTCCTAGAGAAGTGTATGAAGATCAATTACAAATGCAACAAATTCGAGAGGAAGAGAAGAAGGCTCAATCCGCAAGGGGTGCAAAGAAGGGTTCGAGTAGCTTGGAGTCCAAGGCATTGATGCTAGCTCGACAAGGAGACATGAAGCAAGCCCTCTATGATCGAGTTCCTATGATTATCGTCCTATACAAGGGATTGCTACTCAACCAAGAGCTGATTCAAGAGGTACCACCTAGGGCAAGAGTGGTACTAGAAGAGTTTGAGGATGTCTTTCCTGAAGAAGCACCAAAGGGATTACCTCCAACCGCGGGATAGAGCATCAAATTGACTTCGTTCCTGGGGATACCATTCCAAACAAGGCAGCCTATAGGACAAATCCAGAGGAGACAAAGGAGTTGCAAAGGCATATTGACAAGATTATGGAGAAAGGACATGTTCATGAAAGCATGACTCCTTGTGCGGTTCCTGTCATCCTCGTGCCTAAGAAAGACCATACGTGGAGGATGTGTGTTGATTGCCGAGCAGTCAACCAAATAACCGTTAAGTATCGTCATCCTATTCCTCGATTAGATGACATGCTTGATGAGTTACATGGGTCTAACATGTTCTCGAAGATTGATCTAAGGTCTGGTTATCACCAAATTCGCATGAAGGAAGGAGACGAGTGGAAGACAACATTCAAAACAAAGCATGGTCTCTATGAATGGATGGTGATGCCATTCGGCTTAAAAAATGCTCCAAGTACGTTTATGAGGCTGATGAATCATGTGTTGAGAGCATTCATTGGAAAATTCGTGGTGGTCTACTTTGATGACATTCTGATCTACTCAAAGAGCATGGTAGAGCACCTTGAGGGACGTGTTGAAGACTTTGAGGAAGGAGCAACTCTATGCCAACCTCAAGAAGTGTACATTTTGCACCTCAAGCGTGGTGTTTCTGGGTTTTGTCGTGAGTACTAATGGAGTTGAAGTTGATGAAGAGAAAGTAATAGCGATTCAAGCATGGCCTACTCCTACCAACATGAGTGAAGTAAGAAGCTTTCATGGATTGGCTGGCTTTATCGATGATTTGTGTCCAACTTCAGCACCATTGCGGCACCATTGACCTCAATTATCAAGAAGAATGTGGCATTTTATTGGGGAGAAGAGCAAGAGAAGGCATTCGAGCTCCTCAAGTACAAGCTTACTCATTCTCCTGTTTTGATGCTACCAGATTTTAACAAGATGTTTGAAGTGGAGTGTGATGCATCAGGATTGGGAATTGGCGCGGTATTGATTCAAGAGAAGAGTCCCATTGCATATTTCAGCGAGAAGTTGAGCGGAGCTACGCTTAATTACCCGACTTATGATAAAGAGCTTTATGCGCTTGTTCGAGCTTTGGAGACTTGGCAACACTACTTGTGGCCAAAGGAATTCGTCATACATACTGATCATAAGTCTCTCAAGTATTTGAAGGCCCAACACAAGTTGAACAAGAGGCATGCTCGTTGGGTGGAGTTCATTGAATCATTCCCTTATGTGATCAAGTACAAGCAAGGCAAGGAGAACGTAGTTGCTTATGCATTATCGCGAAGATACACGTTGATCACTACCATGGATGCAAGATACCTTGGATTTGAGCAAATCAAGAGCCTCTATGAGGAGGATTATGATTTTCGAGAGATTTACAAGCTTTGTGAGAAGCATGGAGAAGGGAAGTACTATCGACATGACTCATGAGGGCTACTTGTTTCGTGGTAATCAACTTTGCATACCACGTACTTCACTTCGAGAATTGCTACTACGAGAAGCTCATGGAGGA